AAAAGGACTTAGGACCGTTGCCACTCTTCCCGTATCACCAATGGCAGCAGTGGGAGCTGCTTCTTTCTCCTCTTCCTCATCAGTTTTGCATGCATTATCTCACTTAACCTTCCTAATAAATCTCAGAAGAATTCTTATCCCTGAAGTAGAAAACTTAAGTTCAAAAGGTTAACCTGAAGAAGGCTCCCCAACTGGTAATTAATAGAAAGAATTAAAAAGCAAACAAACAAAATAAAAACACGTGGCAGCACCCTATTTTGTGTGGAAGCTTGTCCCAAACATGGGGCAAAGGAGGACAGACATGCTCCCTGCCCCGCTAAGTATTTGGTTGGCTAGGGTGAGGACACAGGACAGACCCCCACACTGAAGAAAGGGATGAAACTGAGGCGTGCACGGGAAACTCCCTTGAGGACGTGACATGGGCTGGTTTGAGGAGCTGAGCAGAAATGAGGAGAAATACATTTTGGGCAAAGAGAAGAGCAAGCCCTGAGGCACCTGGGAAAAAGCCCAACGTGCTGAAAGAACGTCAGTTCACTGCGCGGCCAGATGCTCAGGGTGAATGCAGGGAAGAGGGAGAGAAGGGGATGCCACATGAGGGGGACGACTGAGAGGCAGGCTGGGCCTCAGGATATCAGAGAACAGCAGAGGATTTCAGGCAAGACATGATGTGACCACTTGGGACTTTCAGGACCATTGTGATGGTAGTTATATGGAGACTAAACAGAAGGGTTCAGTAACGGGAGGGAGAGACAGAGAGAGAGGGAGAGAGAGGGAGAGAGAGGGAGAAAGAGAAAGTAGGAGACTGGAGTAACAATCCAGAGGAGACCATGAGCACCTACAAGGAAGTTTCCCTTGCAGAAGGCAGTGGAATCGGGCTCAAAAGAAGGAGACCAGCTTCGGAAACTGTCCAAGGTGGAGTCCTCAGGGTCAGGTGCGAGAGGAAAGAGGGAAGGTGATTGACGTGGACTCTGAGATTTCCAGCTCGGGGCACAAAATCCAGGGCTCTTCAGTGATAGAATTTAGCACCATTTTCCTCAGAAATGTTTGTTGGTGATC